ACTGAGGCACAGGCAAGGGAAATGATTTGCCCAAAGAAACATAATTCGTAAGAGGCAGAACCGGGACTTGAACCTAAGACCCCAAAGCCAGTGTTCTTTCCTTTACACCAGCCTATACATCATTCCAGTAGCAGGTCAGGCCCCACACAGCTCTCCCGACTATCTTGAGGCACTGTCTATGGACGGGTCAGGCCCCAAGCGGCTCTCCCGACTGGTCTGAACTCTACGGAACGTCACCTCACAAGGACCCGTGGAGGGGCCAGCCTCCTTCCTGGCTCATCTCTATCAAAGGACCAAACAAATTTCTTTCTAAAACCCTTCCAGATTTGGGGGTTCATCCTCTCAACTAGGTCAGTTGTGAGTGCTGATGGCAGTGTCAGAGGAGAGATGGGGGCGCATTCAGATGTCACGGAGGGGGAAACAACTGGTCTTGGCTAATGGTTGGATGGGGAGGGCGAGAGACAGGGAGGAGTCTGGGAAGGGGAGTACAGTTCTGTTTGGGCCATGTGGTTTCAGATATCTACTGGACATCCCGTTCAAGGTGTCTGTCTGAGAAGCACTCGGAGATGAGACGCTGGAAGTCAGCAGAGAGACTGGGGCAGGAAGAGTAGATTTGAGGGTCCTCAGCATGGAGATAGATGATCACTAAATCCACGGGAGCTGTCCCAGTGAAGTGTTATAGAGGCAGAAGAGCAGAGGGCCCAGGACAGAGCCCTGAGGGCCACCCACGCTCAGAGGGGGTGATGTGGAGGCGGATGCAGGAGACAGAGAGGAAGGAGGAGAACCAGGGGAGAGGAGGGAGGGGGTGTCCTGAAAACCCAGAGAGAGAAGAGGATTTGGGAGGAGAGAGTGACCAACAGCATCAGGGGCTGCAGAGGCCCGCAGAATGAGGACCCAGAAAAAGCCACTGGGCTGGGCCCCTAAGAGATCACTGGGGACTCCTGAGAGAGCAGCTTGGGTGGAATGATGAGGCCAGAAGCTGGACTGTAAGGGGTTAAAGAGCGAGAGGAGAGGAAGTGGGGGGGCGCTTTAAAGGAGCTTCCCCACAAAGGGCAGCAGATGGGAGGGTGGAGAGCCGGAATGGAAGGGTCGGATGGGGCAGACACCTGCATGTGTGGAAATGGCAGGGAAGCAGCCAGTGACAGAGACTGAGGGTCCAAAATGAGCAAAGGGATCAGCTTTATTCTAATGGGGACCCCGGGGGACACAAAGTCCAGGGGGGAGAGAACATGAGGCATCGGGGGCGGGGGACGTAACATAGGGGGAGTGAAGAGAGGTTTCTCTCAGCCCCGCCCTCTAGGTCTGGAGGTAGGCTCCCAGCTCTGAGGCCTCCACAGACACCTTCCTCTCTGGACCTCAGTTTCCATCTCTGTAAAACCAGGAGGTCAGACTAAAGGTTCTTTCAGTTTCTTTTCAGCCCTAATATTAAGACCGCAATAGACCGGCTGCTTTGAGGGAGAGGGAGGGAGCTCTCCATCACTGAAAGTGTCCAAAGATTGCTCTCTATACACACCTGTCAGAGGGATTTCTACAAGACGTGGGAGGATGAATGAGGAGCCTCAGGGGTCACCCCCCCTCCCCTGCCTGGCCCGGGGAGCCTAAAATGCCAGGACTTCCAGAGCTGGGCCCCTCATGACGATGGTCCTCAGGAATGTGGAGCAGCTGCCCCCAGCCCCATCTGTACTGGATCTGCTGCTTCTGGCCTCCCCCTCCCCCACTCCAAGCTGCAGCTGGCGAGAGCATTCCAGCAGCTGGAAATTATTCCATTCATCCATGGAGACGTGAAGGAGTTGGCCCCCCTGGCCCAGCCCTGCACCCCACACTCTCCACCCTCAGGGGCCACTGCCTGGAGAAGCCCGGGCCTTAGAATGAGGTGCCCATCCTAGATCTGGGAATGCCTCCATGGAAGCTGATGGAGAGAACAAGCCAGACCGGAACTAGAGGGAGGTCTCCTGGCCTGCCCCCCCCCCCCCCCCAATTTCCCTGGGACTGCCTGTCTGTCCACCCACTCAACAGGCCAGATTGGGACTTTACCCTGAAGACCCAGGTTGACTGAATGACAACAGCATCTTACACCCTGGCTTATTGGGCCCATTCGTCAGATGGGCAGGGTGAGCCCTGAGCCAGACTGGACTAGGCAGGTGCTGGACAGAGAGAAAGAAAGAGGCCCGGGCAAAGAGCTCCTAGCCCAAGGGACCCTTGTCTGGGGAGTCCTGGATGCTCGGAACTGGACTGGACCCCAGAGGCCGCCGAGGTCAACCCAGACCTTCCACACATAAGAGCTCATGCAAATGTGCAAATCACAACTTTTACTGGGCTTACAGAAAAGGAAACTGAGGCACAGAGGTCAAAACAACTAGTCCAGGGTCCTCCAACTAGTAATAAGTGTCAGAAGCTGGATTCGAATGCAGCACTTGATCGAATAATAATAATAACTAATCTAGTTATTCATCTCGCACCTTAAGGTTTACCAAGCAATCCCCACAACAACCCTGAGAGTTGGGTTGTACTACAATCCCCATTTTACAGATGAGGAAACAGTGATGAAGTGGGCACTACCTTCCAGGCTTGGCCTTCAGACAGTTTTAATGAGGAAAAAGGTTGTCGCCTAGTCTGCTTCTCCCCTCCCCCCTTGACACTCCCTGCAGCCCAGGGCAGCAGAATATGAAATTGGGGGGGGGGGCACATCTCATGGATCTTTGTCCCCCCGAGGGAGCTCGGTGTTCCTGGAGCCTTTGGAGATCAGGCAAATAAAATGAGTCCCGTCTGGCTATGATTCTCCCATCCTCTGGCCCTCCCTCTACTGCCCAATATCCCCAGTACCAGCTGAAGAAAGCTCAATGGTGCCCGCCCTCCCCCATTCTGGGCCTCAGTTTCCTCATCTCTCTAACCCTAGAAGAGCCTCTGGCTGTGGCTAGGGAATTGGTATGGGCTTATCCTGCAGCCCAGGCCCTCCTCAGGGCTCTGGAAGGTTTGCTGGGAAGAGTCTGAAGCCCTGAGTGTGAATCCTGCCTTGGCCCCTAAGTGGCTCTCCCCAGTCTCTGGGACTCTCTGTACAATGCCTGGGCTGGGCTGAGTCAATTCTAAGGCTTCTTCCAGTACATTTATGGAGCTGGGGAGAAGCCCCAGCACTGAGGCAAGCGTGCTCTAATGAGGGTTCAGGGGGCAGGGGTGGCTGGAAGAGACCTTGAGGGCTCTCTTGTCCCACCCTCTCATTTAACAAATGAGGAGACTGAGGCCTGGCCTCCCCAGCTAATAAGCAGCATTTGGATCTCGGTTCTATGACAATGAGTCCAAACCCCACATTTTGTAGATTTTATAGACTGAAGTTCAAAGGAGGAGCAGAGCACATGTGGTGGGAGGGACCTTGGAGGCCAGAATCCAACCATTTCCTTTTCTTGAGGGGTAAACTGAGGCCCAGCAGGGCTAAGTGACCTGTCCACGGTAGGGGTGGGGAAGGAGATGCAGCAGAGGCAACATTAAGCCCTTTGCCTTCTGACCAGGCCTGGCCTGGCTTCCAGCATCCCTCCGTCTGACACCCCCCACATCATCGCCCAGGGGCAAAGGCCCACAGGGGAACGTCCTTGGAGGAATCCAAACAAGCTGAATAGGGCCTTTGTGGGCCAGGCTTCCAAGGAGGAGTGGGTCATGGCCCACAGATTGTGCATCCTCAGCAAGGCCACTCAGGGAGCTGTGATTCAGCCAGAAGGAAGCAGTAGGCTGGCCTGTACTGATGGGGGACGGGGGGAGAGAGAAGGGAGGAGAGAGGAGGGAGAGAGGGGAGG